AGCCTGTGGCCGGGTCAGTCCAAGCTATCCGCATAGGATGAGGACAATACTAGAAAAAGGGCTAGAGGAGGACAGAAAGGGGTGGAAACAGGAGCGAGAGCGCAGGAGAGACGAGAGACCACCGAGAGAGCAAGGAAGGGAGCGCGGGAAGAAGGAAGACGGCAGAAGCAAGCGCACATCGCGCTTGGAGCCCCGCCAGATAGCGCTAGAGGGCCATTTATTGAAAGCCTTGGAACTTGGAGACTGAAACGGCTCAAATGAGGAGAAATAAGGCAGGGCAAAATCGAAGAAAATACAATTCCACTCCGTCCTATTTAAAAAAAATAAATCAGGATGAGTTATTGGTGTTAATTTGCACAGAGCAAAAACTATAATAGAAAGCCTAAGTGTGAAAAAGGCAAGAATCATAAATAGTAAATAAATAAAAAGAAAAAAACACAAAACAAAAGCAAAAACCAAGCAAAATAAAACAAGTCACTTTCCCTCCTTTGACCCCAGCTAGGAAGAAGTGTGCAAAGTTAAGAGGTAAGGAAGTGAATGGAATTCTTTCTACCCTGACAGGGTAGAAAGGCTGGGAAGGTCAAGAACAGTTCACAAGGATGAGCCGAGGTCTGCTGAGAAGGGATGTTTTAAAAGTAATAGATGGCTCCAAGGGGTGGGGTGGGGACAAGCACGTTATTGGAAATGCCAAATAAAATATATATCAAAAATTCCAACTGTCAACCAGCAGGTCTGGGGCAGAAGACAGCCTCTCTGCCTTTGTCCCAACAACACTGGACTCAGGGTTGCAGAGGATAATTCAGAGATACTCTGGAAAGACTGAGAAAAGACAGACTTCAAAATTCCAGTTTCCTTTAGAACTCAAAGAAAAGTGCTTGGGGTGGAGAGAGAAAACCTGGAGGGGAGAGGAGGAGGAGGAGGAGGAGGAGGAGAGAGAGAGAGAGAGAGAGAGAGAGAGAGAGAGAAATGTAAATATGTTTAGCCCTTGTATTTGCTCAGTTCAGAAATGTAAGTAAATAAGCTTCTTTCATAAGGTACTTTAAAGTATCGACTTGATACTATCCTAAAATCCCTGGCATCTCTCATGTCTTGCCTCTTATTTTAATTCTGTCTTGCCATGTACCTTTAGGAAACTTTTTCATATCAAAAGATGCATGCAGATCAGATCTTTCTTCCAAACCAGTGAGTAGAACCTCCCTAAATAAAAATTAATCTTATGGAGAACAAATACAATCTCCTTAATACAAAATATTCCAAATCAAAAAAGTAACTAAAGTTACAAACAAGATTAAGGTTGGATTTATGTGCTCCTTTACCAAAGCACCAATTGTTCTAACAGTTGTAAGAAGACAAAAAGGATTTAAATCTGGTGATTTTTTTTAATATGCAGATTAACACTTTGGACCTCACAGTTCTAAGAAATTTGGAGTTATTTCTGCAGGGGATCTACAACTCTCTAGGCAAAAAAAGAAGAAAAAAAAAAAAAAACAAGAGAAAGATAAAAAGAAACAGTCACATGATATCTTTAAGGAGTATGGGCAAATTCACCTAAAAAGAAGTCTCAGTTTATAAATGCTCATTTCAAATTAACAACTCTCCATAAAGCCAATGCCACCATTGGGGATTATATTATTCTTTTTAAATCCTAAATGTTACCTATAATAGCATTCCATGTTGGGAGGGGGAAGAACAGGAAAAACAGAAAAGGAGCCGTTTTCAGGGATGCTTCAATAAGAAAGCAGTGATTAAAAACAGACTCTTAAATTTGAGAGGCCAGATTCCCCCTCCCATTCACCCCAACCCCCTGGTCCCCTCCCTTTCACCTCCTTTTTAACGCAGTGCCCCCACCCCCTCTCCAGAGCTAAGTAGCTGATTTGGGATTCTGAAGAAATAGGTTTCACCGTCCATATTTGTTCAGGGGCACTTGTAAAATGCGATTTGTAGAGGGTCTTTAGCCTTCTGATTGTCTTTGAATTGTTTTTACTGAAACAGATCTTTTGCAGTTAATGAGTCCCCACGCAGCTGGACAGCTCCTCTCCGACACTGAGAACTCTAACCCCAAAATGACCCCAATTTGACACCGCAAGATGAAATTTTACCGCCTGTTAAAACCATTTCCAGCCCGGGCAGAAGGAGCTGACTGTTGACTGAGGTGTGTGCCGCCTCCTGCGACCCCCATCTCTCGCCTGTCTCTGGGGCCTGTTCCACCTATTTTCTCTTCACCCCAAATGTGGGAGAGCAGATGAGCCTGGCAGCCGGAGCAGACAGGCCAGGGCTGAAAGCAGTACATCCCCAAAGCTGGAAATCAGAAAGCAGGGGTACCCACGGCTGTGGGGTGGCTTCTATTGCATCAGAAAAGTTGGGGTGAGCAACCCTGGGAATTCTTATATATTACAGGAGCCTTTTCTGGCTACATTAATTAAGCACCTGCAAGTTGTTGGTTGTAAGTAGTAGTCCTTTGAAATCATCGGAGTGATTATGCTCCAGTACCCGGCATCAGGTCCATCTCGATTTCCTGAATGATCTACCACACTAGGATTGCTATTTTAAACTAACAGTTTGAGAAATGGCATGCAACTGGGTAAGTGAAAAAAAATATTTTTAGTTGCAAGGAATTCAGGGTCTTCCTTAACTCGAGGTGAATTTCAAAAGCACACAGATGTCCTCCAGAAGAGCTGTCCTCTTAACACACACACTTAACTAAAAATCTTTGGAACTGAAGATTAATTTTTTTGCAATTCCTAAAATATCATATTCCTCTCCTTCCTCATCGAGTCAGATCGTCTTATTGTTTGATGTATTCAATAAAATGCAAAAGAAGTGACAGAATATTAGAGAGAAAGGAAGGAATTCAGAGTTCACACTTTCCTTCTATCACAAAACCCAAGATTACCACCAGCTAATCAAGCCATGATTAACTTAGCAATTGTTCGAAAATATAGAAATCCTCAATCTGTCTGAATTGTGTTTTCTCAGTTGCACTGGCACCACAGAAGAAACATTAAAAAAAAAATGCTAGCAAAGTTTTTCTAATCAAGGCTGCAGAGATGTTAACCCGCTTCGTCAGTATCTCTGTGAATCCGCAGCGGTGGTAAAGAAGCGCTAAGTAGCCACGTAGAACATTTGGACTGCGATGCAGAGGCTCCGCGTGAACTTCATCTTACAAAAAAAGCGTTTATCACGCAGTTTCCTTGAAAAAGAAAAGTAACTGGCGCTTACTTAACACGGACATTTAAAAATAACAATAACCCTACTGGCGAAAGTAAATACCCAATACTGAATTTAAGAACAATTAAAAGAGAAAAATCTGAAAGGTGAGTATAAATTTCTCAGTCAGCGGTACAGGGAACTTGGACCCACCAACATCCACAGCTCTGCCAAGTCGGAAACGCTCGGCAGCGAGACTAAATATTCTCATTCTCTCATTCTCTCTCTCTCTCTCTCTCTCTCTCTCTCTCTCTCTTTCATTTCTCATCTCTCAGGTCCGGCTAAACTGAATTCAGGTAATTTCCACTTGAAATAAAATTCTGGAGACCTTTTTCTTTTCTTTTGGATCTTCCTTTTACTCACCTTTTTTTAATTTGTCGACGAGCAACTCAGCATCAAATGAGAAGGATATTTTTAATCTTGGAGTTCTTCTAGAAAAAAAAAAGGTGGGGAGAGAAGGACCCTCCCCCACCTTCAGGTTTCATGCCTCGGTTCTTTCAGGCTTGAAGCCAGGCCACAAGAAGAGGCGGAAAAACTAGGCTAGACAGTCCCTCGAAACTCCACCATCCCGAGGTCCCTCCTCTGGCCGCCGGGGCAAAACTCTCGGCCGCAGACCTCAGCCCCTGGCCCGGGCGCCGTGGCGCTACGCGCGCCTCTGCCAGAGCCTCTGCGCTCTTTCTTTATATGTGAGGGCCGGTTTCCCGTAGACATCATTGTTATGATGGCTCATTTAATCAAACTGTTTAATTGCTCTGGTAATCACTATCATCATCACAGGTGCTCAATCATTCATCATTTTTGGAGGGCTTTATTGACCTCCGGAGCTCATTCCCCAGCCCTATTAAAACGAGGCCAAATTTCTGCGACTCCGCTTGGAGTCTCTGCAGGCTGCTAGCTTAGCCTAGTTTGTGCCGCCCCGAAATCTTACAGGGAAGTAGAGAAGATGGAAAGGGAGCCAAAAAAAAATTCTCATTTTCTCTCTCTCTCTCTCTCTCTCTCTCTCTCTCTCTCACACACACACACACACACACACACACACACACACTTTACTCCCCCTAACCACTCCCACCCACCCACCCCCGTCCCCTCGGGAAAGTCCGATTCAAGCGGCGAGCGATGGATACGCTACTTTCTATTTTCCAGAACGGGCTCAGAGTTGGGGAGGGGGTCGCGGCTGCAGAGCAGTCCGTTTTCCATTCTCTGGGCCCGGGACCATGAACCCGAGCCAAAGTGATAAATTGGGGAGAGGGCGCGCTCCCGGCGCGGGGCTGGGCTGGGCCTTCGCAGCCGGGGGGCGGCCAGGGTAGCCGCGCGGCGCGCACTGGGTGACCATGGCTCCGCCCCCAGCTCGGGGCTCAGCTTGATTGACGCACCGCCGCCGGGGAACCCGCTGCGCGGAGGTAAAGCCGGGTGGCACTGCTGCCAGGGATTGGACGGGACCCCGGCCAGAACTAGTTCCCACTAAAACCGTGTGGGGCAGTTACCTTCCTTCCCCGTTCTCCTCCTTTTCCTTTTGGAAAAAGTTCAGTCGGAGCCGGCCCCATCTTTCCCACCCAGCGAAATCTCCCCAGTGCAATTAACACAGCCATTAGCCGGCGTTACCGCGGCCGCGCCGCTGCGCCTCGGGCGAGCACAACAAAGCTGGGCCGGGAGCGCCGGCCGCTCCTCGCAGCGGGTCCCCTCTGTCGCCCTTCTTTTTTTCCTCCCTTTCTCTCCCTCCCGTGCTTCCGAGCTCCAAGTAAGATCCACTCTGGAGGCGCACACCAGCCGCGCGCGCGCGCACACTTACACACCCCTTGGCTACACCGGACAGCCAACATCAAACACCCAAACGACTCCCTCCCCACGTCCTCCTTCCCGACTCGGCCGAGGCTCCCTCAGGCCCTCCCGGGTGGCCCTGGCTGCACGGCTGGGAGGGAATGTGCTCTGAGTTATGCCGACCTCTTCTTGTCCTGGAAAAATGCATGTTGACATCAAGGGTCCTGGATCTGCACGGGGAAGAAAGTGCCACTTAAAAAAAACTCTAGCCCGGCTGTGGTATCATCTGCAGAGCCTGCCGCCCTTGGATGTTAGCGGGAAGACTTCGGGGCCGAGCCGGGGGGACTGCGGAATTAACAGGAACAAAAGCGAGAACGCCATGCCAAACGTCCCTGACACGACACAGTTAGGCAGGAGCCGGGAGTGATGGGAAAATTAACTAGAAGTAAGTTTAAAACGAAAAAGAAGATCTGAGTCTGTACCGTACTTTCCCAGTGGTTTCCTGCACTTTTCCTCTCTGCGCTCTCCTTTCTCTCTCTCTCTTTCTCCCTGGCCCTTTCCCTCTCTTCCCGATTGTGCGCGCGCGCCTGCGTTCTCTCTCTCTCTCTCTCTCTCTCTCTCTCTCCTCCTTTCCTTCTCTTCCCAATCGTGCGCGCGCGTGCGTTCTCTCTCTCTTCCTTTCTCCCTCTGCCTTTCCTTCTCTTCTCAACCGTGCGCGCGCAGTGCGTTCTCTCTGCCCTCGCTCCCTCCCTCCCCCACCCCTCCCTCCCTCCCCCACCCCCTCCCTCCTCTCTCCCCTCCTCTTCCTCCCCCTCCCCCCCGTCCCCTCCGAGGAGCAGCCGGTCGCTGATTTGCTCGGGTCCGCTCGGCTGCAGCCTCCCCTCCCCCCGCCCCCGCCCCCAGCCGGGGCCGTCCGAGCGCACTCGCTGCATATCAGAGGCTCGGCGCGGCGCGCTCCTCCTCGCTCCCGCTCCCACTCCCGGGATGTGTCTCCGCCGCGCGACAGGCTATGGCCACCACGACTTCCGGGTTCCGTCATTTCGTTCTCCCGCCGCCGACCCGCGTCGCCAAACTGAGGCTCTTCTATAAGCCAGGCAGCCGCCAACCTGCCAACACCTACTGACACTCACTCATCTCCCAGAGAGAGAAAGAGAGCGCGAGAGAGCGAGCGCGAGAGAACGAGCGCGAGTGAGAGCGAGCGAGCGAGAAAGAGAGAGAGGGAGAGACAAAATACCTAGCAGGAAAGGGGGGGAGGAAGTCCAATTTTTGCAAACTATTCATTTTTTCTTCATTTTTCTCCCTGCTTTCTTTGAACAATACTTTAAAGAGAGAGGATCCTATTAGAGATACCGCGGGGGCAAAGCTAAAAGAGGGGGGGAGGGGGGAGGAAAAATACAAGCAGCAGAAACCCCTCGCGGAGTTTTACTGGAAGAAAAAAAAACGGGTCTGAAAGATTCCTCCTCTTCATCATCAACCAGCATTCATTCAGTACCTTGACATTCCGGGCTTGATTGACAGCTGGAGTGGCAAAAAGCCATGAAACACGACAGTTCGGTTACATGTGGGCTGCTGACGGGCCGCTCGTAACCTTCAGTTCGGGGGCTTGACAATTTTTTTTCTTCTTTTTCTTCTTTTTCTTTTTTTTTTTTTTTCTAACTGAGAGGAACAGAAGAGAAAGAGGGGGAAAGGAGGACCGAAGAGGAGGAGGTGGGGAGGGGGGAGGAGGAGGAGGTGGAGGAGGAGGAGGAAGATCAGGAGGAGGAGGAAGAAGAGGGGGAAAAAAAGAGAAAAAGAAGAAATATCACAGAAAAAAAAAAACTCTACGTTTTCTTGCCTGGGCTTTTGCCCCCTAAAAAAAAATACCATATTGGAGAATTGGGAGAAGTCTCTTTGGTTTGGAAAAAAAAAAATCTTCAGCCTAGATCACTTTCTTATCCGGACTGGAATATTAAATATACGACACATCCAGGAGTTTATTGGAGCGCAGACTGATGGCGCAAAGGGTAGGTTTAAATCTCCAACACTTACCTAGATATAAATCCTGTCCTAAGAGGGGCCGGCCCCGCTGCGTCCTCTCCCTGCAAACTGCTGCTGCTGCTGCTGCTGCTCCTGCTCCATTGCTAGATGATGGCGGCCAGTATTTTAAAAAATAGCAGCGAAATTATTCATCGGCTTCTTTCCCCCCCGTGCCTCTGCGTGTGTGCGAGTGAGTGTGCGTGCGTGTGTGCGTGTCTCGGCGCGCGTGTTCCAGCGCTGTGCGAGCGGGCGGAGAGCGGGCGCGCGTGAGTGCTGTGTGTGTGCGCGTGCAATTGTTCCACGCTTTCGCCTGGCTCCGGCTTCTTCCCCAGCCGCGCGATCCCTCCGGTTCTCCCGCTGCCGCCGCCGCTGCTCCCGCGGCTCGGGGCGGGCGCGGGCTGAGTAGGAGCCGCCGCCGCCGCCGGGGCCGCCGCTGGGGCCGCGCTGCCCGGGCCGCTGCGCCGCCGCCTAGACTAGCCTGGGCTGCTTGTTTTGTCTCTGAAATTGACAAGGACGCAGGGAACCCGCTGCTAAATAATGTTTCTGGTAACTTTCACGTTATTCCTCCCCACCCCTCTTCTCTGGTCTCTACCCCCGGGGAGGCGATGGCCCTAAGTCATCCCTGGTGCCTGGCCTGCTCGCGCAGATTATTAGCATTTTCCTTCTCTTTATTTTGTTTCATTTCGCCTTTTGATTTATTGGAGCTTCTGGAGGAGGCGAAGGGGGGGTGAGGGGTGGGATCGGGGCTTCCTCCTCTCTCTAACTCTTCTCCCTCCACTGGCTCGCTACGGCGGTGCTGCCTCCGGCGGGAGCGGGGCCTCCCCGGGCCCCCTCCATCCCCGGCCTCGCCGCCTCCTCGCCCTTCTCCCAAGGCTGCTCTGGAATCCTCTTACTTTTTCATTTTAAGATGTAAAAACGTTTTCCCCTACAACTTTCAACTCCGTTGTTTTTCGGCTGGTTTGATTTCTGTGTGTTCAACTTGTGCCCGATACTTTTCTCCTTTCTGACTTTGTTTTTATTTTTGTTTCTCTCTCTCTCTCTCTCTCTCTCGTTCTGCCTCTCCCCTCCTCCTCCCCTTCGTCTTCCTCCCTCTCCCCCTCTCATCTCTACCCCATTCCCACTCTGATCTCTGATCTCTCTCTCTCTCTCTCTCTCTCTCTCTCTCTCTCTCTCTCTCTCTCCCTCTCCCCCCCACCCCCCCGGCTCTTTCCCCTCTCTACTACTCCCCTCCGTTCCCTCTCGCCCCCTGCGTCCCGCTCCTCCGGGCCGGGTTCTCACAGTACGATGAGCTGCCCCATTACGGCGGGATGGACGGAGTAGGGGTTCCCGCTTCGATGTACGGAGACCCTCACGCGCCGCGGCCGATCCCCCCGGTTCACCACCTGAACCACGGGCCGCCGCTCCACGCCACGCAGCACTACGGCGCTCACGCCCCGCACCCCAATGTCATGCCGGCCAGCATGGGATCCGCTGTCAACGACGCCTTGAAGCGAGACAAGGACGCGATCTACGGGTAAACCAACCCCCGGACCCAGCTTACTGTGTGTGAGTGTGAGTGCGAGTGCGTGTTTGTGTCTCTGTGGGTAGGGGAGGGCCGGCTAAGTGGGGAGCTGTTTCTGCAGGGGGGCTGCTGGCCGTAGGAAAGGACAGTGGAAGGGAGCCTGCTCCTCTGTGTGCCCTTTGAGTGTAAGCCCAGGATGAGAACGCCTACTCCACTCCCACGGCCCCGTCACTCCAGACCCCACCGCCCGCCCGGAGTGGCTGAATCCTCCGAATCTTGCCGGGCCTTCTCCCCAAAGACAGGGTTCCTGGCCACGGGACGCAGGGCTGGTTATTTCAGGCCGTTTAACAGAGGCCTTGACGCAGGGGAAAGTTTCCTGCGGCCGAGGAGCAACTTTGTGTTTCTTTTTCTTTCTCCCCCACCCCCTTCTGTTTCCTACTGAGGGTCTGGGAGTCCCTAGAAGCAGCTGGAGCTGGGATCAGGGCTGCTTCTGTCGGCCAGGAAGTCCTAATCACCCACTTCTTAATTCTCTGTAAATAAAGGGGCAGACCTTGAAGTGAAGCGGAGTGGAAGAACTGCAGCTCGCCCCGAGCCGCTCTTGGGGGGAGTCAGGGAGATGGCTGGAATTATTTGATATTCTGAGCGAACTCGGGAAGGGGTTGGGGACGCACGGCCCAAACGTGTGCCACCCGGGCTCTTCCGGCGGCGGGATGCCGAGGGGAGGGGACAGTGGGGAAACAACCACTGAGCCTAAAGCCAGAGGCCACAAGCATCCCCAAGTATAGCTAAACACAAAGGGCGTACACGCATGCACACTTCCAAGTTTTAAAACGCGATTTATTTATTTTTGTCTGCTGCAGCGCTGGAGAAATGTAGTCTTTGGAAGGAAGCTCTGGGGCGGTTAACATTCCTGTTATTTTGGCCCCCACACCCGGGCTTTACTAGAACCAGAGCAAACAAGTTTATAGGGCAAGGGGGTGGGGAGGTTAGAACAGTCCCTAGAAATTAGGAACTGTCACTTGGGTGTGTTGAAGGTGAAGCCTTCGGCCTTGTCTGAAAGGCCCATTGAAGCATTTTTATTTTATTTTTATTTTTTGGAGTTTTCCTTTCCTAGGAGGTCAGGCTGGATGGCTGGGGTTGGTTGGGCAGCTCCTGCAATTGGGGAGTGGGTTTGGATCAACTCTGGGCCCCAGATGGCCTGGTCTTCTTGGATGTGTCATTACGTTCCAATTGAAGCTGTTTATTTGGCGGGCTAAAGTGGCCGGGGACTTCTGTGACCAGATCTGAGGGATTTCTGAACGGAGGCAAAGGGCCAGGCTGTTTTTCCTTTCTGTTTCTGGCCCAGCTCGGCTGACTGAGGAAGGGTTGTAAAGTGTGATGCGTGCCTGTTGTATTAAAGAAGGGGTCCGAACCCTCCAGACTTGTTGATTACAGTTCTTGCTCCTTCCCTCTGCATCCCGTCTCCGTGTGTGTCTTCTGCGTGGCGCCTGCCTTTTAGGCACCCGTTGTTTCCTCTGTTAGCTCTGGTCTTTGAGAAGTGCGAGCTGGCGACCTGCACTCCCCGGGAACCCGGAGTGGCCGGCGGGGACGTCTGCTCCTCCGACTCCTTCAACGAGGACATCGCCGTCTTCGCCAAGCAGGTCCACCCTTCTTGACCCGCTCGCCCTCCAGCAGCCCTTCTCCTCCCTTCCCTTGCTCGGAGCTTGGTTTGAAAGGAGAGGAAAAGGCCCGACACCCGATCCGCTCCCCTGGCCCAGTCCGCACTCTACGCCTCCGCCCCATCCCTCAGCCTGGAGGCGAATTGGGAGCAGAGATAAATATGGGTGTTTGTTTTCCCCCCAGCCAGGAATACAGGGGCTCGACCTGCGAATTAAAGTTGACCTGCTCCTAATCTAGGGCTTGGCCTTTTCCCCCGCCTGCAGCTACAGGAACTAGAATTGGGGAGAGGGGCCGGGAGGGACCTGGGAGTGCACGGGTGCCAAGGCAGCTGGGCGCCTGGCGCTGAGGTGCGCGGGGCTCCAAGGAGAGGGAGGTGCGCTGGTGCATTGGGGTACAGTGGACCCCCAGAACGGTCCTGAATTCCCTGCTCCCGCCTCCTGGTCCCAGGTCTCCCTTCCCAGAGCCAGGACCAGAAGGCCTGCTTCCTTTTCACCCGATCCCACGCCTTTCAGGCCCAGTTTGTTCGTGTATTTGAGCAAAGCCCCTCTCCCTTTCTCCGCCACTGGCCCTCCACGGTTCTCCCTCTCCCACTCCCTTCAGTTTAGGAGGTGGCAGGGTTTTTCTTCTTTTCAATGGGGTGGGAATTCATGCTGACTCTTTGCCTGCCTCTTACAGGTCCGCGCCGAAAAGCCCCTTTTCTCCTCAAATCCCGAGCTGGATAATTTGGTAAGGCTCCCCCCCGGGTGTCCATTTCCCCAGCCTCCGCCACCTCCCCCCCTCCCGTGTCCAAAGCACCCTTGCTCCCTGGAGTTCGAGCCCTCTTTGGAGCTCTATGGCGAAGGGAGGCTGGGAACAGCTTAGAGCCCCGGCTCGGGGAATGGCGAGGGGGATCCGGGTGGGAATCGGGGGAGCGGAGCCCACCGAGGCAGACGCCGGGGCGCGGCGCGGGGAGCGCAGGCCGGGGATGCTTCCCGGGCGGGCCCCCGAGCCAGCGCGCGGGGACTGGGGGATTTCCTCTGCGTGGCGAGCCAGGCGCCTGCCCCGGGCGGAGAACCCGAGGAAGTCACTGCGGGCGCGCCGAGGGCCGGCTGGCAGGGGGGCAGGGGGTGAGGGGCGGCCAGCGCAGGCCACTTTTAGGTGCGATTCTTTTGCTAATTTGCACGATTTCAATATTAAAAGTACTTAAATCCGCTTTCAAAGGCCCTGCCTCACCATTCATCTGGAGTATTTCCTTCTTTAGGAAGGACGGATTTCGCTGGGTATGCGGTTCTAAAAAGCTTTTTCTGTCCAGAGAAGCGATTTTTTTTCTTTTTCTTTCTTTTCCTTCTTTCTCTTTCTTTTATTTTCTTTCTTTCTTCTTCTTCTTTTTTTAAAATTTGGCCTGAGGTCAAAGGAGGGGACAGTTAAAGAGGACTGAGGCCGAGAAAGAAGGCCGTGCGGGAAGAAGGCAGTTCTAACAAATAAACAGCACAGTGAACATCAGGCGAAAGATATTCGTGCTGAGGCTGAGGTCGGGTCAGATGCCTAGCCCGTGGCCAATGAGGCAGAGATGAGCAGTAATCATTGGTGTTTTCTGACTATTTCTTAATGTGTGGGTTTTGCCTGGCCACCTGCCCCTTTCTTCTCCCCAGCCCAACTCCCTCAAGCAGCCCCTACTCAAGACCTGGGAGTCCCAGAGCCCTAACGCCATCCTCTTAAATTTTCCTTTCAGATGATCCAAGCAATACAAGTACTAAGATTTCATCTTTTGGAGTTAGAAAAGGTAAGCAGGCAATAACCACCCCCCCCATTTTCATTTAGCCACAGCCCCTCTGTTAGTTGCTGGGAGTGTTTCCAACAAACTTCCAGTGTGAGAGATTGCACACCTGGTGATTCTGAGCAGGTCACTGTGTCCTTGTTTCCAATGGTTCTTCAATTCAGGGGCTCAAAGAATAAGTGAATCAGGATAGCCCTGCCTTTTAAAGTACCCCCTCTCACCCGCCCCCTCCCCAACTTTTTTCCCCTGGGCATGGAGGATTATTTTTAAATGCAGCAAATCATTTGTGTTAGTGGACATTTGGTTGCTTGTGTCTCTATTAGCTCAACTCACCCTGGGCACAGGGTTTGCATTAGATGTCAGCAGAGGTGATCTTCCTCACTGGGGTGTCTTTCCATGGCTCTGCAACTCTATCACTTTCCCCTGGAAACATGCAAGACTCTTAGCTTATTGAATCACAAATGTTCCTGAGGCCCCCAGCTCCAGTGCTTTAGGTTTTGAAGTCATTATCAAATCAGATTTTCCTCTCTGGTCTCCCACTCTGAACCCATTTATTTCCAGTCCAGTTTCTTTCTTTATTGTAACTTGTTGCTCAGAGAAATCTCTGGAGAATAATATCTGTAACAACAATTGCTCTATTGTTTCCTCGCTTTCAACTGTTACACCTCTTAATTAGACTTACTTTGGAAGACAAACCATTGTTGCTCTTTCCAAACCTAACTGTGCAACCTGATATTTCTCTTCTTTCAAATTGTAACAACAACATGAGCTGAACCCCCACCCCTTCCAGGTCCATGAACTGTGTGATAACTTCTGCCACCGGTACATCAGCTGTTTGAAGGGGAAAATGCCCATCGACCTGGTCATTGATGAAAGAGACGGCAGCTCCAAGTCAGATCACGAAGAACTTTCAGGCTCCTCCACAAATCTCGCTGACCATGTAAGTCTGCAAGCTTTCGGCATTCTTTTAAGGTCACTGGGCAAAGCATTTTTGTGAAACTCATCTAGTTCCACTGACTATGCTTTCTTTTTAAATTGCTTGGTCTCTTTGGTCTCTTTTGGAGTCTTTTTCTCTCTTTCTCATTACCCCTGCCATACTCTTTTCCATTTTCCCTGTCTTGGACCCCTCTTTATTTATGCTGAGAGTCAAAAAAAAAGAAGAAGAAAAAGAAGAAAAACCCACCAGGGAGTTGATAGAGTGATTTGTGCTCTTAATGTGTAAAGTTTCCTGGATTTGGTGACTGGGGTGTTAGCAAATTCTCTCTTTGATATGGTGACTGCTGTCTTTTTCGGTTTCTCACTCTATGTAATCTGTGCAGCAGGAAGAGAAAGAGGCCAGGCAGCTAGCTGGACAGGGTGGGGGAAGAACAGGAGAATGAACTCTGGGAAAGAATTGGGGGGTGAGGGCTGGGGGACTTCTCAGTTTCTCCCAGAGATGACAGTCCCGAGAATTATTGGCAATCTTGCACTGCATTAGAAATAAAAGGAGTGAATGCACGCATTACAGTTCTCGGGGCTTTTGCTCTGTAGAAACTTACTGTCAGAATATGGACTTATTGCCAAGTGCCTGAAGCATCTTCATAATAAAAGACAGTAACCTTGATGAACCAATTATTAACAGTGTATTACAGAAAGCTGAAGGGAATTATGATTGAGTAACCATAGGTTAGTGGTTGCATTTTAACACTTTAACAGTTGGTGACTGAGGACAGAGAGTATAGTAAGGAACGACTGTGTGTGTCAAGCCAGGAAAGGAGATTTCTTTCTATTCTCTGTTTTTAATCCTATTTTGGAACTGATCTAGTGAGTCTGATGCTTTAAAAAAAAAAAAAGCATATGTAGTGAGAGTGAAATTTTGAAAAAGAAGCAAAGAGAAGAAAGATTGCAGCTGGTAGGAAAGGCAAGAGTGGTGAGGTTAAAGAGTGGGTGTGAACAGCAGTTTATTTATAGGAGCTCAAGCCTGGGGGTGGGGGACAGGATGTCTATACATCCATTTGAACTCACAGGTTCAACGATACAGGCTGTAGTCTGAATAACTTTATGGCTGAAATATTAATTAAACACCCTATGTGAGTTAAACAGGCATTGAGACTTGAAGGCAATTTGTAACATCCCCCCCTTTCCTGAGTGTTAAGAGAAATGAATTGAGCTGCTTTGAAAATAACCCATCTGTGAGGTTCTCTTCTCCCCCACCAAAAGTTTTGAAAATATGTAATCATGTATTTTAATAATTAACCTTTGCACTCTATGAGAAGCCAGCCTAAGAACAAAAGTTTAAAGAAATAAAAGAAAACCTCAGCCTGGGGTGTTCAATACTGTGACAGAATAAATACTATGGTGCTAGAAGCTCCTCCACCTTTCTTATCCTTTTCTATCTCCAACGTGATGGGTGAGGGGCTCTTTTGGATACTGAGCGTATTAAAGGAAATCAAAAGGGCACAGCAGTGGCTATGTACAGTTGGTTTGCTTCTCCGTGGCTCTACAATGTGTGTGGCTGTGGTCCATGAAGCATGAATACTGCCTCTGAAATATTTATTTTTGTTGTTCTTTATTTATTTTCTTTGCTTTCTGTTTATAAATTCATATGAGATTACATTATTTGCGGACTAGAGAGGACTCTATTGGCATGTTTTGTAGCATGAAAGGTTTACAGTTGTCCATAGTCAAATGCTTTTCTCCTGCTGTTTCTTGGGGTTCCCGACTAGTTGGTTTTCTATAACTGCTTCCTGGCAACTGTTTTTCGAGTTGATGTTTGGGGCAAGCTGCTGTTTATGTAGAAGAGATAAGAGAAACTAGATTGTTTAGAATATTGGCTGATAGACATGTGAATTTATGGAACTATTGTAATATTTAAATATAGACTGGAGAAGGAAGTTGTACCTAAGAGAATAGTGTGTTAATAATTCAACAGTCATCATCTTTGGATGAAAGAATCAACTGTATCATTTGTTGCTCCTCTTTCAGGCCCCCAATCAAGTAAATATGACAACTGATTTATTTTGAATTCATGAGGGCTTGCCACCTCATTGGGTGTCATAATTTAAAGCCTTTTATATCCTAGAGATCTGATTATCACATTTTTTTTACTTTTGCCCCCTGCTATTTGTTTTGAAATGAAGGAATAATTTGTTCCACCAGCACACTGAGAGGGTGAAATGGAGAAGTTCACCACAGACTTGTGTTTTATGCAGGTCGAGAGGAAGGAACCCTTGGAGGGCGTTCACCATTTTTAGTTTTTGGTACCATAGGTGCATTGACTGGATTCATATCCAGGCCTTGCACTCCAGCCCTGCAAAGGGATTCCTCTCAATACTTTTTACCCTGTCCTACAAATTCCCCTCCCTCGACCCCCCAGCCACAAAAACAGCAAAACACAGGGCACCCCTTCCTGAGCAGCATTGGGAGTGGGCATTTTCAGCATGTGAATGTGTCCAGTTGGAATCTTCAGGTTTATTTTTTTCCATTTGCTTTGATATGCATATTTAATACATTGCCTCAGGCTGGATCTCATTTGGTGAACGCTGGTGCAGGGGTGATGATGAGCCACTTCAGAAGGACCCAGACAGCCTGTTGTTTTCTCTGTTTTATCTGTTGGCCCACTATTCTGATCTATGGAGCTTCCTTGTGGTTTTATTTGCACATGAAATGCTCAGAGCATTTCAACTTATTGGCTATGAGTAATGACAGCTAAAAAGAAGCGTAGTTTAATTTGTCGTGTGCCAAGGTTTCTCTAACGGAGGTGACAGTTTGTGACAGCTGTTTGACACCCCCCAAACACATACACCTCTATCCTTATTAAGTGGTATCAAGCTACAGTGTGTGTGTGTGTGTGTGTGTGTGTGTGTGTGTGTGTGTCTAAGGAAGAAGTGGGCAAGGAGGGAGACAGGATGAAAGAGAAAAAGAAAGAGCAAGTGTGTGATTTGGTGAACTAGAAGGCCAAGGGAGAAGTGTCAAGGGGAAGACACTACTAAGTATTAATACAGTTTTCCATTTTCTTATTAAAGAACTTGAAAATATAAGTGAATAGAAGTAATGGACATAAATATCTGCGAAGGCAATAGTATCATCAGACTTTTAAGAATGCATTTTATATACGGCTACTTGGTAAATCATGTACATTTCACATTCCACAGTGTCATGTAAATATTCTGAGGTAGCAGAGATGTATTAAGAGAAGACAATCATAATAGCCTTAACATTCAGGGAGGATACTGGATTTGTTCATTTATTATTAACATATATGCTGTGCCTAATGGTTGCAGCAAGTTTGGAATTAAATAGAAAGTGCAATGTGCAATGTGATCTACTATTTTGTTGTAGTTAGTAAGTTCATAATGAGTTGATAATTATAATATACTTTATTTTCTACTCTTGCCAAGTACTCATAATACTTACAGATAGGTAAGGGCTATGGTGGATTTCTTTGAAATACTATAGAGAAAAAAAAAATGTGTGCTAGTCAAAGGAAATAGACCTCTGTTCTCCAGCTGTTCTTAATGTTACTTTTCTCAGACATTCAGATTTATCATGTTTAAAGTAAACATGCCAAGAAAGCAATTTTTTTTAAAAGTCTCAACTTGAAAACTGTTGTGAAAATGCCTTTCCTAGTTTGTAGTATTTGTGAAAAATTGGTAAAAGCCACATGATCCATTTTATATAATTTTAGATCAAATCTCTAGATCTGTTGCAGCCAAATGAAACCTATTGCTGTATTTAGACATGAAAATATTATATATTTTTAGTTCAAGTTTAGACAAATGAAATATACGTGTTGAAATATATTCTCTGAGCTAAGCTTTCTGTGCTTGAAGTGTGTATTATATTGTTATTCCTAGTTAATACTCATTAAAAAGCTGCATTTTATTTTCTTTGAAATAATTAAACAGAGGAAGGAAAATATAATTATGTCTATTAACATGGAGTGGCAAGTGTCTTAAAATTGATGAACTCTGACAATATCACTAATGAAAGAAAATGAATTTCAATTTCTGTGCTGTAATTTAAATCAAGATAGGCTGGCATTTTCTTTTGCATCTCTGAATATGTCACTTATTTATGTCTAGATAGTTTTTAAAAATGGGTTAGGTCAGAGGGGAGAGTTGCTGGAATCTTGTTCCTGACAGAATACGGACAACTGCCCATAGAAAAATTCTATTATTACCTGAGAAATTAGAAGAGAGTACCAGTGAGGAGAGCTTTGGGGTTAAGTGGTTGTCTATTGAAGATACAGGAAAAACACTGAGACTTGGTAGTAATACTAATTCTATAAATAATACAATTTATTTTATCTGATACTTTCTAATGTTGCAGTGTAAGATTAGATACTATGGTGGATTTTTTTTTCCCCCAATGCATCTGGGACTCTTTCTTGTAAAGTTGTACCTCTGAGCTCTCTGTCTACCAACTGTAGGAGTCCTGGTTTTCTGTTATTGCTGCTGCTACATAGGTTCTGGTTGTTGATAGCTTTCCTGTTGATTTCTTGTCAAGAATAATTATACTATTTAAATCACTTAGGTTGTGGATTTGGAGTATATTTTCAATGTAACTGTGATGAGATAGAATTAAATGTAAATACACTTGGCAAACACATGTTCTCTACCAGATTAAATAATTGGCTTTATTCTGGGTCATTTTCTTATTTATTTTCATGCTGAATTTCATATGGAATATCCCAGCACAGTTCAAAACTACAGGAGGTGTTTTAAAATATGGCTTTGCACTAATAACACAAGACACTTCTGTCTTCTCTAAAAGTTATTTCATTAAATGGAAGAATTGACAACTTCTGGTGAGATTTGCCCACTTATCAATTCCCAAAACTTAATAAAGAGGTGCAAATGAGGAGACGAGGCAAAATCTTCCACTCTATTTACGTTTTTAAGGAGTGAGTCTTGGTTCTGAAAGTACACACAGGTCTCCTGAGTTCTTATATCAACTTTAGAATCACAAAGTTGAAATTCCAACATTTATTCAAACCATGCAATTAACATTTTTAACTTTTGTAGACTTGAATACCCCAGGCTAGGAGTTTCCCTCTTATTTTAAAAAATAATTTTTCCATGCTGCTAGTTAGGTATTGAAATATGAAACCATAGAAAATAAGTAACTTAGTATTAATTATGGGCATTGATACAAGTATATCTTCCCTTTATTGTTTAAGTGTATTGAGTCAAATTACTTTGCATGCTTCTTTTGCTGATTAAATTAGCTTTCTGTATGTTTAGTATTACTTTTTACCTATGAGCACATAACTTGAGTTACTTTACTGGGTTTTCCAAGTTCATATCTAATTTTTTGCTTGATGTTATGAAGTTGTGTGGCTTCTAGAAAATCTAATGGTGATGTTAAATGTATTTTTAATAATAGAAAGGAGGGAGTGACTTTAAGGATTACTTTTAAAGAGATAAAGGACATGAGTTCAAAGGAAATGCAGTGTGTCACTTGCTCTGGGTCACATGACCTCTTAGAAGCAACCCCTAAGAGTCTTAATCCCTTGTTCTCTCCTGTACACAACCACTGCATCACCTCTTTATTTGGGATCCGAACTGAGCTTCAGATTCTTTTAGTGAAAACTTTATGTAGAATGGTCTTCTCTTTTCTCCTGGAAGCCTAGTACCTTTTCCTTCCCCCTCACTTTTGTGTTCATTCACAAACTCCGACACAGAGACCCCATGGAAGAGCCTTGCATGGTGTGGAGTCATTTACAACAGGGAAACGCCACCAGTTGTCCATCACTTTTCACGTGCTCTCTTTATGGGCAGGTCCCGGGCAGACATTCCACCCTGGTTTAAAATGTTGCACTTGTACCATATCTGCAACCTCAACAAAGAGGCGCACATCCGATTTGCTTCCTCTGCCCAGAGACTCCCATCCTCTTTGTGCTCTTTTCTAGATTTAGCAAAATTCAATGGTGGTGCTAAATCAATTTTTTCTAACTTTCAGGGGAGAAAACACTAGCAGAATTGTATTTTCTAGGGAAAGCCGTGTGTAAATGAGAAACTGAGGAGAGAGCTCTGCTGCTCTCCTGTGGCCTGGCTCCTACACGCTCTACCCATATTGTCTCCTGCTTCTATATTAATTACAGCTTGCATTATCAGCTGTGAGTCTGCAGCCAGCAAATAGAAAATACGGCCCCTGGAGACAGAGCTTCTTGTATCTCTTTTCCATCTCCTTCTATTGTGCTCCACTCAGGATTCACTGCTTTTCTCCTGGTAGCACTGCTCTTTAACGCAATTATGGAAGAACAAGAAGAGGGTCATCTTTGACTCCCAATTACTAAAACCGGTGGGAATAGAAACATGTCTCCCCTTGCCCTGGGGTGTCTTCACCATGCTTCTGGCTTGAGAACAGGACATGGATTGTGGAATGCATGTACACACCTGAATAATCTGCACATATGCACACAGAGAGCATTTCTCTTTAGTTTTCCACATACGGCATGTATTTTTGCATGGTTTTGTATGCCACTTTGGTTTCAGGATTCACTAAACTTCTGCATATAATTTGGCAGAAAGCCAGAGATTTATTCTTGAAGGATGTAAGCTTGGAAATTATCTAAGAGGAAAAGGAAAAAGGAGTTGTGATACAAACAAATATTTCAGTCGAGTAACAAACAGCATCATGCTCTATGCTGCCCATGTAGGTTACAATTTTTTATGACCAAGAAGGACCAATTTTTAATTGACTATATTATCACTGTGTATTTTTATATGTGATCACATCACCATAAACAGCAGATTTGGGGGTCCCCACAGGGACCTACCTGTTCTTTCCTTCTTTAAATTAGATCAGTGTTGTGTGATGTTCCTTCCTTATTTCAGTTCCTTAAGCCAAAACCTAATGCTTTAGACATATGGAAATAGATGTGATACTATGTGATACTCTTTCAAGAGAACATTTTTGAAGAGCAAAGAGAGAAGAGGGAAGACATAAGGGAATGGTAGGTTAGTAATGAACTTGAGAAAATTTGGGACTGAGCTGAAAAACAAAGATCTAACTCGTTTGGAGAAACCACTTGGTCTTAAAGTAATTTTGGTAGATGTGGCTAATTTTCTCCCTTCCCCTCATTCTTTAAAAAATATCTCTACAGAAAGCCATTGAAAGAAATACACAGAATTAATGAGACTGGACTTTAAAACTTAGCACAGATTTCACCAAGTGAGACAAATGAATGTTATTACAGGAACCCCTGAAATCACTGTACTGCCTAAACAGAAAGATTTGTTCCAGCTTCATTTGAAAGATTATATAATAGCTATTGGATGACATTTGCCTTAAAACAGAGTTTAGGTGTTAGTGGTTAATTATTGTAATTTTCATGAGGGGTAAGGAGCTTTTATAGCAGCTGGCTTAATAAAAAGCCTGCAGTGCATAAAATTAACATCACTGGCTGTGTACACTGAAAAGTTTAGCTTAGGTGAATTTGTGGCAGTTATTCCTTTTTCTAAAAAAAGGCTCTAGCCTGTGTTGTTGCAGAGCTAAACTCTAAACTCATGCCATTGTATTCTCTCTCTCTCTCTCTCTCTCTCTCTCTCTCGTGTGTGTGTGTGTGTGTGTGTGTGTGTGTAATTCTTCTAGCTCTTTATCTGATTATCACCCAGCAAACAGCTGACCGAAAAGACTGCAAAGCTTAAAGAGTTCCTGTAGTCTGTCTGCCTTTAGCTTGCAACTATTGGAGTGGGTTCTAACTTAGATAAAAAAGACAGCTAACAGGAGTGACTTTGTCTTAATACAGGCAACAGAGAGCTTGGCTTTTATTTTATTCTACTCAATTTCATTCCCTAATGTACTTCCTACATATCTTTATTTTGGAGAGCTATTCCTGGCTGTATTTATGGTCATGAAATCTCTGCTTAAGGTTTTCACTAGGAATAAGTGGCTTGCCTGGTGGCAGTGCCAGTAGCATTGTATGATGTAGATGTTATTAATCCATAGAGTTCTGGATTATGTCACCAGCTATCAAAAATGCCAAATATTAATTTACAATCAGTTTATAGCAGATCTGTAGGGAAAATGTCTTTTGCTATTGTTGTTCCAAAGATTTCCTTACTGTGTCTCACCTTGGCCTCTGGCTTTATTTCGGTAGTATCTTGCATGCCATCAGTGGGCACATTGAGAAGAATTACAGGCTGAGAGTTTTCCTAATGAACTATGAGTAATGGTAACTTGACAAGATTACTTTCAGATGGTCAAGAAGTTTGCTTGTTGCCTATATGCTTACCAATCTATCTGAATCCTCTTTTACCAATTTGGGTAAAAAGCAGTGGTATATTTTGAGAGTTTGATATTTCTTTAAATAGTTGTTCCTTCCTCTTTGTCCCCCAAAGAATTGCCAGTAGGTTTGTGGGCTTAGTTGAAGTTGTATACAGGTGACAAGTGCACAGCTTTGGCCTCAAGGCTGCTACATTTCAAGTGTGGTTTCTGCCCTCTGTTTCTGCCAGAGGAAATTCCATGTCTTGCCTGCCTTCATGTGGGCTGATAAAGTCCTTCCTGTACATTAGAATTCCTGTTTGCCTTTAAGCAAGAGCAGGGTATTGGAAATGATCAGGAAGGGGAGGAGGAACAAAAGAAGAATACACTCAGCTCAGTGGTATGAGTAACTTTCAGCTTGCCTTACATGCCCTCGAAATAAATCTGGTTTTTAGGAAAAATCACTGCTCAGCCATTTCAAACTTCCAAGAAACTCATGTAAAAGTCCCAGCCGGCTTATGAGATGGCAAGTAGCTCATATGTGTTTCATTTTTAAATTATTTTTTGTGCAAACTGAGCATAGATTAACTTATTGTGCATCAATGCAATGATTACCATTCATCTGTTGGTTATGGAATCTATCAGTTGGTGACATTTTGAGTGTTCATACAGGCCATAGTAGGGTAACGCATTTGAAAGATCTGTAGGGCTGCCCTCTTGAACGAGTGCTTTTTTAAGGGAGCCTTTGATTTTTGTAGATGTTAAAATTCTGAAGTCTTTAGTATCCAAGGGCATTGGGAGATCTATTTCTTGGAAATAGACCCTTTTAGGTAATATTTTCTTACTTCCAAAATGACCTTTATTGTGGTTTACATTTGTATATAGTAAAATGAACCCATAAAAGTGTGTATTTCAGCTGGGAGCCAGTGAGCCTAGCTATTCAGGTGGCAGAGATCAGGATAATCAAGGTTTGAAGCCAGTCCAGGCAAATAGTTCCTGAGACCCTATCTTGAAAATATCCAGCATAAAGCACGGCTGATAGAGTGGCTCAAGTGATAGGGTATCTGCTTAGCAGGGGTGAAATCCTGAGTTCAAATCCCAGGACTGCCACCCAAAAAGTATATTGTAGTTGGTTTTAACAAATGTACACACCATCATAACTATCAATTGAGTTCTAGAGTGTATTTCCTTCTTTTTTGTACCTATAACTGAAAACACCACACTGTGTAACATGCATGCACGTGTGCCTAATTCCACAAATGTTAATATGTACACTTTTTTTGTCTCCCTCTGCACCTGTCCTCTTGGTTCCTCATTTATGCCTGAAATGGTGACTGTGGGAAAATTCCTTGGCATCCTGACATCAGAACCCTTCATCTTGGCGAGACCATGATGATGCAACCTCCACCCACTCAGCAGGCACCCCAGGACCCTCCAGTGGGGGCCATGCCTCCCAGAGTGGAGACAACAGCAGCGAGCAAGGTAAAAGGTCAAGCACCTTCCCAAGTGTCAAGTACCGTGACTAAAATAACTTCTGTATTTTGTGAGATCAGTACATCTGCCTCTGTGTGATCAGGAGAGTGTCAGGTTAGCACTAATTAGGAAGACAGTATTTCCTCTTCCTAACTTGAAAGACTAAAGTCAAAGTGAGCTGCCTAATCTTTGAGTAGGCATAGCAATAATAATTGATTAGTTCTGCCAATTATTTAACAAATTTGGTTATCTGCACTTCACTCTGGTACTTGTAAGTGGAAGGACAGATCTACTACCATAATTTGGTAGTCTGAATTATAATTTCTCATAATATCAATTATAACACTTGTGTGTAATTAAGTAATTATGCCTACAAAGCACCTGACATGCAAAAATCTGTTCTTGTTAGGTGTAGAGATACACAGGAAATTTTATACGGAATCTTACCCTGGGAAGATGGATTTTTTTAATTCTTAGGAGACAATTTGTCCCTATTTCCATTCAGCTGACATGGTGACTTTTGTCACAGTTCCTAAAAATTAGAATAATCAGAGGGCAAGGTGACAGCAACTGCTGGTGTTAAGGAAGCCTACTGCAATTTGGAATGAATTTTACCATTTAAAACTCACCTATTGCACAGAGAGCAATTATACATTGGTGGGGATGCCTCTTCTATGACTAAAGTGATAATTTAGAAGAAGATGCATTATTGAATGGGGGCCAGTAAAGTGTATAGATTTTACTTCTTAATATTTTACATTAGATGGTGTCTGATCTCCTAGGTCTACTTCATCTCTATTATGACTATGTTTATGGCCACAATATTTAAGCATTAGACTGGCTTCCAAGTAAGGAGAGTTTAACAGCTTGAACTATACTATATATACCACTTTATAGGAGGTGGTTGATACAGGGTGGGTGTCTTCCCTCCTCCGTGTTTCTGGCCAGGGATTTTTGGGTTTGCTGGGTTTCTAGGAGAGTCTAGAAAAATGTTCTTTCTAGGACGCCATTCACTTGTGAAGTTAGAATCTACCTTTAAGCAAGTTGCAGTGGATACAGATGAATGCTGTCAAATGACCAACTGTGGAAGAACTTGTGAGTTGTACCTACTTAGGTTTTATATGCTGCTTTCATTGCACCAATTAGACTATCTATAAAAAGAAACTAAATTACAACATAGATAACTTGTACATAGATTCAATGGGTCTGTAATACAATGACTTACGATGGTTTATGTTGCAGTGGACTCCTTGGTGTGGTTAAATCCAGAAAGCTTTCTATGAATCACTCTATCACCTCCCCAAATTGCAGCAATACAAAGGGTGAAATGTATCTATTAACACAAACAAAACACCCTATACATTGTACGGGGTTGGGGGGAAGAAAAAGCAGCTTTAATGGCCTAATGAGGCTATCTTGCAGAGACTTCTTGTGTGTGAGGCTCACTTTGACCTTTCACTTTGCTCAGGAGTTCAGTGCTTCATTTTTCACATTCTTGCAATTACGTTAACGCTTCAAGCATTTCTGACTCCAAGTCAGCTGGCCACACCAGGCATAACTCAACACTGTGAGTTTTTCTCCTCTCTGTAGATTCATTAACAGGTCACCAAGGTCCCAACTGAAATTTAAAACTGACTGGTTCTGTTGGGTTAGCTGAGTTATGGTGAGAGGACAGCAGGAAGGGACATAGAGAAGAGGAGGAGGGACAGAGGAAACCCTGGGATTTGGAGCAGAAAATGATTACAGCAGCAGGCAAAGCATGGGTTTTCACATTTTGGTTAGTTAGTTTTGGTTTTTTTGGGGTTTTTTTTTTTTGGTAAGGAAAAAAGAAGAGCTATGAGACTGATAGGTTGGGCAGAAACAATGCACACAGAAGTCTATGCTGTGGGTAGCCGCACCCATTTATCCCATGTTGAAGGATTTGATTCCTGAAGGATTTTGTTCTTTTAATCATATCTCTGTGGGATTAAAGTGTAGACACGGTAGCTTATGTGCACAGGCGCTAGGAAGTCAGTCTTTTTACTGTGTTAATGCTTGAGCGGGAAGGAAAAGTGATTCCTATGAAATGGATAATTTGTCTTTTTTATAGCAGACTAAATTTGGAAGGCCAGACTTGAGTGTATTTTGTCATTCTCACTCTCATATTAGTCTTTTAAACATGTTTTTGGGATATTTTAATATTTTGTCCCTCTGAATTATCCAGAGTAGCTTTCAGTGAGAAAGATTAATTATCCGCTTCAGGGCAAAGTCAACAGAGATATTGACTGACCTCAGATACGCTTATCACAGGTTAAATCTTAGGGTTGATGTATAATGAAAACCTGGTACGGAAATTTATGTTCTTTGTATGAAATATTATGTTTCGGTGGAAAGTAAGTTTGCAGTTTAGAAAAGAGTTTTCTTGCTTATTCAGAACTTATTAGCACAACAGGCATATGGAAAACTGTAAAATGATTCAGTTTCAAAACAAGTTATGATAAACAGAAAAAATAAGGATGAATTGTACTAAACACAATGTTTTCATACACATTTTAAATTAAACTTTAATAGCCATATGCTATTAAACAATCCATGCATTTATGTTGTTTATAATTTTTGTGAATATTTTTAGTATAATGATTCATACAAATCTTTACTTTGGAACCTAAAAATACCTCATTTTATGAGCTGATAGTGAAAGAGCTACAGTTACACAGGTGAAAGGTCATCTTTTCCTCTTTAGTGTTTATGCAAGAAACTGAAAGGAGAAAAAAATCAAAAATTTAAAATATTGTAAGAAATAAATTTGCTGTCACGTAAAACCTGACTTTACTGTATCTTTCCACAGCAAATGCCTAGCCATGAACTATATAAACATGAACCAGACTTTTCATTCATCTCATTTCTTTTGCTAAAAGCAGCCAAAGGGAGGGCATTTGTCTTGTTAGTCACATTAGAATGACGAAGGAAATCTGGTTTTTCAAGGGTAGAATTAGGGCGCAGATTCAGGGCTCTGGGGAAGTCACGGGCCCTCTTTGTGTCTGGCTTCCCCTCAGTAAAATGGGGCTTGATAATAAGGATTGGGACCCCTAATTCTGTACCTGCTGAGTCAAAAGCTGCTTTGTGTTTCATTGTGTATTTTGCCAGAGTAAAGACTAGGAAGCGGCGTCCTTGTTTCTGGAGCACTTTGAGAGCCTTAAGTGAGAGGCACAGTATATGAACAAAGTATTCTTATTATTGGTGGGTTTGTGTGGCTCCCATTAGGGCTGATGGGAGTTTCGAGTGTGAATTGGCAAGAGAATAGCCCCCTCAGTGTTCAGAACACATGAAATTTACATTTTTTGCAGAGCTGTAATTGAGATGGTGACAAATTGGAGAATGTTGATGAACCTTTGTTTTAAGCATCTTGTGCCAAGTTTGTTTTATTTTTCCTGGTTTGAACAATGGTATGGGTTCAGCAGCAATGAATAAAAAGGGTAGAGTAAAGATAACTTTGTATTTCAATATTTTGATGTGCCAATATGAAATAAATTGTCTTAGGCAAATGGAATATGCTGTTTTAATCATTAGCTATGCATGAAAGAAAAATTGATGTTGACATCTCTGCTGTAAAATCGTTGTAATGGGGCCGTCCTTACAATTCATTTTTGTAAAATTCATTTTGTACATTTTGCAGCAGTTGAACAATCCCTGTACTGTGAATAGGCAGGATTCCCAGAAATACCGAGACAGTTGGCCCAGTAACTGCTGAGCTCACACGCACACCACACACACGTTAACCATACTGTTGCCAGCCCTAGCTTAACCTACATACATTGGCACTCCAGCATCTCTGTCTCTAATCTTCAGGACCCAGAGCTGTGGAGGCCAGCATGCGTCCTTTCCACTCTGCTGCCCCCCCACCCCCCCCACTGAGGTCCCCATCTATCACCCAGGCAATGAGGCTAGAATTCCACAGCTAGATATTTATTCAGTTATTATACAGTGCTGTAGCAATCAGGGAGTGGAAATGTACAACTATCCCCTTCGTAGGGAAGAGAAGTGCTTACAGGCAAGCAAACGCCTAAGATACTATTACACTTTGGAGTTTAAGTTGTATTTTTAAATAGTGTTTTTCCCCGCCCACCCCCCAAATATTCAAGTTGTATATTTAAAGGAGGAAGGGGGAAACCTTCAAACGCACTTACTGTACGTCCTGAATATATTCTACTGGGATTTCTTATTCAGTCTAGGGGAGCTCTGTCAATGGAGTGTTTTCATAGTGGCAGCAATCCCTTTAAAATAACCCTAAATACAATATGACAGATGCCATCTGGCATCATCTTTTGCTAGTTGCTTTTAACTTTTATTCTTCATAGAGCTAAGTTCATCCCAAACTGGTCACTTATTCTTATGATAAATACAATGACATTTCTTTTCCTTCCTGTCCTCCTAATGGTATCAGTTTTTTTCTGAGACTATAATTGAGAGTTGAACATGACCACAAAAGAAGCTATTGTATATGGAATACTAATATTGCATTTTCTTTCTCTTTTTCCCTCCAAATTAAAAAAAAAAAAGAAAAAGAAAATCATCCTTCAATCATCCGCACTCAAATAATTTCTGTTGATTTTCTTAGGACTTTTTAGAGTAGTAACCAGTAGAAATAAAAATTAAAGTCTTCTAATAAATAAATGCTCTAGGAGCATGTAATGGTGCCCATAAATGCTTAAAAGCTTTCTTTAATTGCTGTTAATTTTGAGTAATTTCTTCCTATATGTATCAACTTACTTGAAAAACCCAGAGTTGGGATTTCTAGATTTTTTTTAACTTAGTCATGTAAAGGGATGTCTCCTGATAGCAGTTAGAGTTTAATTTAGAGTAGTAATTAAACTTGAATACTGCCTCATAAACAAAAGATAAACAATAAACCAGCCACGTTCCCTGCTGTTTCATAGCTTTCTTTCCCAGATGTTTTAGGCTGATAATTTTTACACAGTGAACTACCTAACGTGGAGTTTTGTGGACAGAGGTCAAAATGAGTTTTCTTTTTAGCTTCTGCTTCTTCTTCTTCTTCTTCTTCTTCTTCTTCTTCTTCTTCTCCTCCTCCTCCTCCTTCTTTTTATTTTTTGGTAGTCTTTTTTACCACTCCAAAAAAGTGAAGTGTAGGGGATTTTCCACTATTCAGATTTTTTTGCTTTCATGATAACTATAGCACTTTTTCTTAGATATCACTCATTGCATGTTTTTCCTTCAGAACTAATCTGGTCACAAATGTCATTCCCACTTAGTAATAGAAGAGGAACACCTTTTTATTTAAGTAGAATCTGGGTAACAAGTCAAAGAGAGACAAGCTCTACAATGGAGATTTTTCCCTTCTGCCTTGTCCCCCACACATGTCCACCCTCCACCAGTGTCACTGTGCAGCTGTTCTCTTCCTTGGGCTACAGGGTGTCTCTGTCCACCTCTGGGTCCTTCACTGTCAGCCATGATCTTTCTAATTGTCAGGTACTAGTTGGTCGTTCAATGAAGAGCCATGTTATTTTCACTGGGTGGGGTAATTACTGAGAATCGCTGCACTGCAGACAGAGGGTTACTTTCATGATCCCATTAGCGTAAGAGGGGTAAATTATTCATGCCAAGTGAGGATTCTATGGGGAAAAGCACAGTCAATGCACATAGTTCTTAAATGTATCCCTTTCTGCTCTGAGACTAAATTCTTGTTGGAATCAGTTCTCAGACGTTTACGGGAAAGCTCTCGTGGCGTGTTAGACGCCGTTCGTCTCTCTCTGTTTGCGGCGCTCTCAATAGAGACCATCTGGCGAGGATCCAAAAGGTGATTAAACGAAATGATCAGCTCTTGTTGCTGTGTTACATATCCAATACTCTGGATTAAAAAACATGACCCACGACAGTCAGGCGAACGTCACGCCTCTCCCCCTCCCCCCGCCCCTCTCCCTAGAAGAATTCAGATGGTCCACAAATGTGTGTGCCATCTTTGTGTCCTTATGGCCCGTAATCATGAACAGGCTGTGCAAATGGTTCTTTCTGTAGCACTGTCTGTTCCAGCAGCATAGAAGCATTTCATATTAATTGGGTCAGTCTAATATTCATATTGACATGGGGAAAAATTCCTAAAATTTATTCTTATAGCAGACAATGAATATGTGTGCTTTCTGCCATGAAAGGAAGTGAAATCTGACAGCTGGCTTGTGCAACTGATTAATTTTTCCTGAAACTGGAGAAAATCAAAGCATGAAAAACCATCCTTCTCTGCAAACAGTGCACAACCCTTAGAACTAAACAAAATGGGTTGGGTGGGGGGGCTCTTGAGGATGTGTGGAAATGAGCTCTGGTGTTAACGCTGTAATCAGGGATGAATTTACAGTGTCATTCAGAAGAGCCCTCTGTTCCCATAAACAAGCCGGTAATCATGCTTGCCTCCCCTCACTGGGATCAGCTCTATGGGCTTCTGAAGCTTGGGTATGTCACCGCTCAGTTGCTGCGTCTCAAGTCAGATTCCCAAGGTTGGAAAGGAAATGTTTTATTATGAGGACACCCTGCTAATAAGCAAGGTAAATTTGACCAATCATTTCCTGACAGAGCTAAGGTAGAAATGCCAAGATCTGTGGCTGAGGGGCAGATGTATCTTATCTTTGGGGGTTTGCCAAGTAGAAATATAAATTGAACAAACCAGACATTGTGAGGAAGCGATTGAAGAAATAGTGAGATGAGGTCTTGGAATGAAATATATATGTATATTTATAACAATGCTGTGAACCGCTTACACATCACATTTGCATAAACCTGAACTGTGATTTTTTTATTATTATTATAAGGGGGCAGTTGACAGTATGTTAGTTAAGGTCTTCAAAATACAAGACTAGTCCTCATTAGGTTATCCAGAGAGTCTAGCTGACTATTTAGTACTGTGCAAATTGCCTGTGACTGATAGTACAGGCTAAATTCCAGCAGTGTAAATGTCAAGAAGATAAAGAAAATTCTCAAAAACCGCTTGAAAACATCAACGTCCCTTGTCAGCCACCCTTTCTAAGGGCAAGAAAAGCACTAAGTAAGAAATACAGAGGGCCACAGTCCTCAGACAGGGGAAGTAAGGTCCCCCTAGAGTCTGCATGCAGCAGATGAAAGGGGCTGGAATAGCCTTGAGGGTCTTAAGGCTATTATAGGGCAACTCATGGGTTACCATGCTGATTTTTCAATTGCTTTTTGGCTGAACAGTACTTGTTGAAGCCCTCCAAAGCATCCAGCACAGCGTCCGTCCCGTGCTTTGCACCGGGTATAGTAACCATGTTCTCTTCTTCTGTTCATTGGCTTTTTGCTTTGCAAGAATAGTCTGTAATGAAGTAATATTATGCATGCCCCCCTCCTATTTCTACTGGAAGGGAGTTTCTTGACATCCTTATTTTTTGTTTGTTTATTTGTTTGTTTTTCAGGGAAGGGTAGGGAAGAACTTTTTATTCATCTTAACATGTTGACATCTGTTTTTAATTTGACCTTGAGAAATAATATTTTTTATGTCCCAGCAGATGATCATATAAAATACTTTAGTCTACTAAAATTTATCCCTGGGTAGTCTTGAGCTATTTATTAACTTTCTAGTGACTTGCAAGGAAATCTAGTTCCTTATTAAAATGAAAGTGAACCAGTCAGTATCCCTGCTGGGCAATGACAAGGTCTTTCAGCTGGCTGGAAAGCAGAGGTCTTGAAAAAGGGAGATCATAAAAGGACACCTAGAGGGAATGTGTACTCATCTGTCTTCTCCCTGGGGAATTCTTACCTGCAAATCCCATCCTGATGCCATCTCCCCCATGAAACCTTCCTGATGTGCCCAGCCATGAGGCCAGTGCTCCTGTCTATGTACCCCTGTGTCTCGTCCACTTCTATTTTAATACATTTCACATTACTCATCTATTCTGCATTGGTAAGTCTACCTTTGAATCTACAAACAGAATCTACAAATTTCACCTTCTTTTTTTTTAAAGGTAGAAAAATTGATCAAAACTTTGTGCCTATTGATTCTGTGATGTGTGTCTAGACACAAATGAAGCATTCCAAATGTATTTATACATTTATTAAAATCCCGTTACATTCTTAAGGGATAGAACTTCTTTTGTTTTATTGACATTTTGTTGTACTCATTACTGCCTCAAGTAAGTCAATAGACCTATCAGTTCAAACTTAGAATTCTTTTGGATATTGATAGGTTCTTAAATTTTAAATTTGTTATTTATCCTTTAATGTTATGTTAAATTATGTACATATGGTGACAATTTGGAAGTGAGATTTCTTTTCATTATGTTAGCTATACAAGAGCGTATAGATAGATGAGTGTCTTTAAATGTAACAGTAAATCTAATTGGTGAAATTGCTTAAAGTGGCAAAGATTTCCCATGGATGACCTCAGGGTCCATTTTGCTGGTATTCCTTGTTCAGGATGGTATTGATTTTTGGTCTTCACATACAAATAAAGAGGCTGAAAGTCATTTTCAAATATTTAGGACTCACACGGTTTTGCTGATTTTCTACATCTGTCCTCCAGTTTTTCATAATTTGCTTTTAGGCAAGCATAATTATTTTTTGGTGATGTGAGCAAAACTTTGTAGTGAACCCTTTCATCTGTGTAGGTTACAGTCTTGCACTGTGAGCCAAGGGACCTGGATTCTAAGGTCGTGTTTGCACTGAAAAGGGAACAGACCCAGCAGACAGACCTGGGTTCAGGTCCCAGTTTTATTTGATGTCTGCTACTTTTAGTTTCTCCATCTGCAAAGTGGAGGAAAAACTGTTGCCCTCAAGTTGTCCTGAAGATTATACTGAACAGGATTCCCTAGGTTCAGCACATTGCATTGCCTGGAACCAGTCGTTGTTAGTCCTCTGTCCTGGGATGAAACTAATTAGCCGTATGACCTTGGATATGTCCCTTAATCTTTTTGGACTTTTGCTCACCTAAAAAAATAAGATTGAATTAGGTGTCAGGCTTCTAGGCATCTAATGTTTAAGTTCATAGTTCTCATTTTTTATCTGTATATTTTATCTTTCAATATCAGAAGGGTTGCTAGGTTTTCATTGGGGTGGAACAGGCACATTTTATGCCCTTGATTTACAGTATATAGTGAGATAGTATTTTTTTTTGTTCAGTGCTGGGGATTGAACCCAGGGTTTCATACATGGTAGGCAAGTGCTCTTCCAGTGAGCTATACCTCCCCAGTTCAGTTTTTTTTTTAACTTGTTTTTGGTTCAGGGGAGCTTTTTTTTTTTTTTCTTCTCAGTTTGCAAAGAAAATAACTAGGCATCAGAGTTTATGTTCTGTGAATTGTAGAATGCCAGAATTCACATGTAGGACAAATTAGTTGGTAGTCTTGGTATGGGAAGGATGTTCTTTTTGCACAATATTAGGAGGCACTTTGTAAACACAAACAACAAGCAGCTTCTCCATTATCTGTTATCTAATTACACCCCTCTGCTGGAATTTCTATGCTTCACAGGTAGATAAATGATAATCCTTACAGAGGGTCAGGCTCTCCCCTCTCTTGAAATGTATTCCAAATCATTCCAAGACAATCTAATTACTGATCAGGAGACTTAGGGTTAAACACATTTCACTAAGTTCTAATGATTTAAGAACTGTTAATTCATATGGAATATATAAATGATTACCTCTAGCCAGTAGAATATCTGCATACTCAGAACATTTATTACTTAACCCGTCCTGCCAGGCAGAGATGTTACTGGTGACTCAAAAGCAAGCATTTCTTTTCTTTTTTTAAATTTAAAGATTTATAAAAGTAGACTAGGAGTGTAAAATTTCATATTTCGCCTTCCAACTAACATTTGTAATAAATGCCATACACCAAAATAAAACTTCTAAAATTTCTATGTACTAAATGTGAATGATGAAGAAAAGATGATAAATCATTGATTATTGGAAGCTTGTGGACATCCTTTTCTGACAGATTGCCACACCTGGAGACTGACATGTAGGTACACACACCTGTCTGGACACAAGAATCAATCTCTCAAGATCTTATTATCTAAGTGTATACTGCTCAAACTCAGTCCGCAAAGATCTTCATTGAGAAATGCACTCCAGTAATAAAAACATGGAAGTCACAAGGGTCTTCAGTAGCTTATCTTCTCCCAGGAATGGAGGAAGGAGAGCACCATGGCAGGTGCAGAAATAACTCCTACATGGCACGTGTTCTTTTACAGGGGCACAGACTGAGGAAAGGGTCTGAGGCAGGAGGCAGCAGGTGTAGAGAGAAGGTTGTTTGGGAGGCAGGTGGATCCAGACACTCCTTTCTACCATGCCACTGCAAAGCAACGACTTCTCTGAATATTAGCTTCTTAACGTGCAAAGTGGGAACAATTACCATCTCTTAGGCTAATTGTATATTTAATATACATTGGCTTTTTTAAAGTATAGCTTGGTGACTGATGGTGGAATGCAAAGAATACTCATTTAGTGACCATGTGTGCCAAACCCTATCCTTTGTGCTACAAATAAAAGCAAAGAAGATGTGATTCCTTTCCTCAGCAAGGTTAGGCAATTCAGTAAGTAATACAGGAATGCAAGTAAATAACCATGTATGCTTGATACTGTATTTAAGGTACAGGTTGTAAAGTATTTTGGAAAAAGGAGTGTTTAATGCTATCTGAAATATCTGTGGACAGCTTCACAGAATGGGGGAGGCTTTAAATGTTTTTTATGGCTTTTGGTGGGGGTGTTCCAAGTAAACAAGGCAGGGTGGGTGTGGGGAACAGGTGGAACAGCCAGTGCAAAGACCCGCAAGGGTGAAGCTATATGGTGTGCATGCAGCA